CCTCTCATGAAGGTATTAACCCCTATACTAATCCATTTTCAAACCAAATTCCCATTTGTGAAACATGAATCAATATGCATTAACAAACAGCTCTTAATGATCATTCAAGCATTTAACAAATCATTCCCATGATGAAAAATTACTTAAACCTCTAACACAACTCTTTCAGGAATTTCATCAAACACTTTTGGTGCATGAAATTCCCAGAATCTAGATCTCAAGTGATTATCAAGGATTTAGCATAGAGAACAGCTGTTTAGAGAGATGAATCAATGAATCTAGCCCTAAGCACTCCTAATCTAACACTTTAGCACCCTAACCTACACATCTAGAACCTCATTAAGGTGACTACTCACTAATCATACTAATCTCTCTTAAACTTTTGCAAGTTGAGTAGATTAGCATGATTAATGATGAGAAATGGAGATGGAGATGATAGATTCAAAAGAAAACAGCTTTAAACACCCAGATCTCCTTAAACTCTCTTGATTAAACACTCAAATAAAGATATTTCTCTTCTTAATGGAGTCTTTTCACCAAAAAGGCAAGAGACAAAGGGAATAAAACTTAGTTCTCCCCCAAAAAACCCTAAAAAGTATTTATACCTTCTTAAAAACGAACCGGGTCAGCCCGGAACAAACCGGGTCCTGACCCGGCTTTAATGGATAAAGTGGGAAAAGCTGCGGGTCGGTTCAGTATGTCCCAGGCCGCACACCTAAGTCGCAGTAGATGAAGACTTGTCTTGTGAGGCTTGAATCACCTTGTCGGAGCCGCACGCCTATCTAGGAGTAAATTGCGAGTGTTTCTGCGGCATGGTCTCCTTCCTCTCCAACTCGCAGGGCTGAGCCGGTTTCTGGGGGATGTAGAAACTGTGCGGGTTGGTCTCTATTGCACTTAGGTCGCAGGCTCGAGTCGGAGTGAATTCCGAGTGATCGTGCGGCATAGATCCAGGCGCGGATGACTCGCATGCCTAAGTCGCACGATTGTGGACTTAGCATTTCTCTTGCTCGGGAGCTCCAGACCTCTTCCAGTGATAGTTTACCCGCACATTTCAACTCGCAGCATCAGCATTCAGGTGTTCATCTTCAGGCCTGCGGGTTAACCAAGTCGCAAGACCATCTCGCAGCATCCAGAGCAGCTTAGATCACTTCGCATTCCGGAGAGTGTAACTCCTGTGATACTTGTCCGAATTGAATGATTTCGGTTGCAGAAGACAGAGGACTCATTTATCTCCAACTTTTGTGAAGGAAGTTTCAGTGCTTGGGAGGTGGAAGGCTTCCTGGAGGGCACATCTTTGCAGTGCATGTATACGACCAGAGAGAGGCGTCTAGACATGTGTCCATTCCGGAGGCCGTATCTTCCTTCTCATAGATCCGAATTGAATGCTCTTGGACGTTCTGGAAAGAAAACTCAAATGTCTCTGATTCTCATGAAGGACCCGGAAGCTGAATCGGCCTGGAAGTGCACCGTCCTTCGCATCCTTCAGAACTGATCTGCTCGGTCCGGAATACCTGCGAGACAGGGGTTTCTTCCGACGAGCTTATCTCTCTGCTCACGCGTCCGAATTCTACGATTCCAATTGCTATGAGACCGTGCTTCAATGCTCTCCAACTTCTATGAAGGACCCGCCATCTGAATCGGACCGGAAGGCTCCCCGGACAGGTGATTTCTGAGACTCGTTCGCACCCGGAGATTTTGGCCGATATACTTAATTCGCGGTACGTGAAAATGGCCGGTAAAGCTTCCCGCAGTACATGAAAATGGCCGGTAAAACCTTCCTGGCCAGCGAGAATGGCCGATAACCTCCATAGACTCAAGTTTTCCACTTTTTCAAGCTCTGCTCACCATTCCACCTCCTGGATTCATCTTTTCAGCTCCATAATCACCTGATAGACACTCAAAACATGCAAAGACTCATTGGGACCTAATGCATCTCCTAAGTTCTAAAACAAACCCTAGGGACCTAAAATACATGAAATAAAACATGATTTGGAATGATTTGTGCAACCTAAATGATGCAAATTATGAACATATCAGTGGCCCGAAGTCACCTAATTTGCAGAAAAACAACTGTAACAGTTGATATTACTTAGAGAAGTGTTATAATTGGTACAAATAATATTATTGATTCAAGATAACACGTGCTAAAGTAGTTTCTATTCTTCCTAAGACAATAAGCTATAGTTTCACAAACATATATTTGATTATGAAGGATATTATTCAAAGATCATAGAATTGATGGATTTCAATAGAAGATCACATGTATAGTATATCATTTACGACATCATATATATATCTTAGACAAAGCTGAAAGTGACTTTAATTCCATTGGTAGTGAAACCTCACAGACAATAATATATTTTCAATAATGAGGACGTTTATGTTTATCTCCATGAATAAGGAACTATGTAGAAGTGTTTTGCATGTAGAGGTCACCAAAGATTTGGAAAACATTAAGTTGGGCAAGCAACTTCTAAGAGTAGAATGAGAAATTTTATTTGGTGTGAATTTTGGCGATCTGTTTTCAGGTGGAAGAAATAATTCTAGAGTTAATGATGGTTTTGTTACTCTTTAAGAAGATGACAAAACAACAGAACAACATCATGAATTGATCAAGAATGTTGTTGATAGATGTGTTACAAATATATCACGTGACAATGTGGATAATAGTGTGGATAATGGTGTAGATAACAGTCTGGTTATCTTGTGTATGCCTGGATATGTTGAACTTCCACGTGATGCATGAGAATTATGTCAAAAATTTCGAACTAAGCAGGCATGGCAAGATTTAGTTGACAGGGCATTCTTATTTAGTTACTAGATCAGCATTCTTAATCTACCACATTGAGAGGAAAAAAAGATGTTAATGAAGTGCGTTGTACTAAAAAATAAAGTTTTAAGGTGTTGTATTCTTATTTGTACATGTTAGAGAAGGTGAATCATGATGAAAAAACAAGTTTGGTATTGGATGAAAAAAAAAAGGTTCAAGTACCTATTTGTCACTTTATGATTTTGCATTGTAAGGTTTCAACAAAAAGTGATTATTGTGGTACTAAAATTTTTAAAGGTTATATCATGGTATTTAACTTTTGCATCGGCGGTCTACTTGATAGTGAAAAAGTCTTAGGAACAGATCATCATGTTTCTGCACTTCCACAGTCCTTCTCAGTTGATGATGAACTCATTATTGAACCGGTATCAGTTTTAGTTACTCACTCTGATCTTGCTAATCATTTGGAAACATCAATTAGTTGGACAGGTCTTCTAGATAATGAGAGGACATGGGAGAGAGCTGCACCTATGATCAAGCAATTTTCACACTTAAGATTGAAGAAAAGCTTCTTGTTTTCGATGTGGGTATTTATAATACCTCAAGAGCTATGTGCCTAAGAAGAAGATCATGAGCTGGAAGATGAAGACCAATTAACTGCTACCAGGGAGTGATCACTGCTGACGTAGACTGCATAATCAGAGAAAGCTGTTAGAAGAGAGAAGATTAATAGTTATTTTACTTTTCTTATTTAGTTGATGAATTTAATAGTCTGCTCATTAGTTGCTAGATAGATATTTTCTTTACAATTGGGTTTTGATAGGTCGATCATCATCAGTTCCTAAGATGTATTAATTTTGTAATTCTTTTTATGAGTGAAATAAAATGAGTGATTACATAGTACAATAGTGTCTTTAATTTATATTGATTTAAGTGCCTTTACTGTATTAAAGGGGAATGATAAAAAGAAGTGAAACTATGAGAATAAAGTGTGTATATAATCTCTCTGTGTTTAAGTTATGATAGCATCAAACTTTTAAGTAAAACCTTAAAAAAGAAAGAGAGACAAAGTTAGTACTAAACTTAACTTAAAAAATTAGGTTTAAAACGCTGAAATAGGAAAAGGAGGCAAACTAGATCAACCTGGAATAAACCGAGTCAACCCAATGAATTTCTGGATCTTGGGTAGGATGTACACAGTAGTGTCACAAATTGATATATCATCCCACTATATCTTTTAGAATTTATCTAAGATTTGTAACAGTGTTTTCAAGTCAGTACACCATCCCAGTATTTTATTTATCTGTAGTAGTGTTATGAAGTCACCACACCATTCCACTATATCTTTTAGAATATATCTGAGATTTGTAACAGTATTGCCAAGTCAATACACCATCCCAGTATTTTATCTATTTGTAGTAGTGTTATGAAGTCACTACAACATTTCAATATTTCTTTTGTGTCCTAGACATATATGTCTTAACTAAATGTGTCGTATCTATTAAATCGCAATAATTTAAAATAAGTGCCAAAAAATTTTTCTTTTTTCTCTTTTATTTTGTTATGACTTATTTTCATATTGACTTTTTTATTATTTTTAACCAAAAATAGATCAAACTGAAGAAAAACCACGAATTAACTTCATTTAAATTCAGTTAGAATTTTATTAAATACAAATTAATTGAACTGACCCAATACAAAATTAAATCAAATTAACATCTACCCTTGAGGTTGGACAAAAGAATAAACTGGATCGCAAAAAAAAGTATAACCAGACACTTGGAGACTCTTATATGCTTTTCTTACCTCCCAAGTCCCATCGTCAAAACTTCTCATTTGGTGGTGTTTTCTTCTACACATTTAATAGTTTTTTTAAAATAGAATCTTATTATAGAAAGTTCAGTGCTCTCAAGTGGTGCAGATAGAAGATGAAGATAGTAGAAAAAATATCTGTTTCCCTTTTTTGGGCTTAGGACTCTCTTTCTGTGTAAGAGTATCTCATCTCTTCGAGAATAGAGCTTTTGTGTGGAAAAACTTCTTTCCCTTTTGACTATTCATCCCGCTTTTCACCTTTTCAAACACTTTTTTTCAGATCTATAAAGAAATATAGGGTTCATCCGTGTTCTTCATTTGCTGGGTCTAGAAAAATTTCGTCTCATCTCCTGCTTAAGTTTTCATCTCGTGGTTTCCTTGCTTTGGGTGGTCTATCTTCTTTGGGCCGTTCAGATTTTCTACCTGTGGTTGTGGTTCAGAGTTATTTTCGGTTACCATGTCTTCTGCTATGGATAAGGCGCTGATGGCCATGTCTCTAGAGGAAGAAGAAGTTCCATTCGATCTTCCTGATACCCCAGCTTACTGTTCAAGTGATAAAAATGAGTTCAGCCTGATAGGTCGTCTTCTTAATCCAGAATGTCAAAAGATGGCTAACCTGATTTTGGATTTGCCTAGAAAATGGCAAAAGTATGATAGAGTCAGAGGTGTGGCTCTATCAAGAGAGCGTTTCCAGTTTTTCTTCAAGTATGAACATGACCTAAATGAAATCTTGGACAAAGGTGTCCATACTTTCAATGAATGGGCTCTTGCTACAGAGCGTTGGGAAGAGCAGCCTTCAAGTGAATCTCTGCAGTTTGTTCCGATCTGGGTGCAAATCAGAAACATTCCTATTAATCATTACACTGAGGAGGCGATTACTGCTTTAGGAGATCTTGTTGGTCTTGTTACTGAAATTGCATTTGATCCTACTAAAGCGCAGAACAAAGAGTTTGTGAGAGTGAAAGTTAAATTTGATGTGTCTAAACCTCTTAGACAGTCGAAAGTGATCAATCTGCCTAAGGGAGGCTCAACCACAGTTCACTAGTTCTATGAAAGAATTCAGAAGAGATGCTATTCTTGTCAAAGGTTAACTCACGCGCGTGAGGTGTGCCCTATTTTGATCATGAAACGTCAAGCTTTGGCGGCTGAAAGAAGACTTGGACATGCTCCCCAAAAACAGATCCCCAAGCCTGTCCTGTTGGAATCTGACCCTCTTTTTGGCGTTCTTGGTGAGAACCAGGTTGGCTTGAATCCCTTAACAGGTCGTCCAAGAATTGCAGCTGAGGTTCTAGAAGGCATGAGACAATATTTGTTAATTGCTAATGGTGATGATCGTAAGGTTAGAGAAGATCGTGTGAAGAATTCTGTTTGTGAGGCAGAAAAGAATTTAATCACGCAGAAAATGGTGCTTCGTCTAGAACCTGTTCCAATTATCACTCGTGATCTCAACAAAGGGAAAGGTCCAGTCTTTGGCTATGATTCTGAGGACTCGACTACAAAAACTGAAGTGATCATGCCTCGAGGTCAAAAGCTTATGTCTGCTGCAATTCAAGCGGATGCTAGCTCTAGGAGAAATTATGGCTCCAATCCTCTTCAAACCGATTCTACTTCCCCAGATTTTGGTGATGAGTCGGTCCCTTTTCACAACAGTTCAACGGGTTATAGGATCGGGCACTCTGTTGCTGGTCCTTCCGGGACTGCTATGAAAAAACCAAAACCAAGAAAGAGGCCTCCAAAATCTCGAAGGAAGTTAAAAGGAAAATTGGAGAATTCTTTTGCCGAAGATGTGGAGAAAAAGAAGGGTTCTTTAGAGGGTTCAGTGGAGAAAAGGAAAGCTGATAGTGAACTGGAGAGTGTTTCCAAAGCCGCAAGGTCAAAAACACATGAGATGGTCCCAAATGAGGAACTGTCCACTGATTTATGAGCATATCAAGCTGGAATTGCCAGGGATTGGGGCGGCCTCAAGATCTGACGATTCCCAGACTCATGGAGATGCGTAAAAAACACTTCCCTGAGATCTTGTTCCTTATGGAAACGATAAACTGTAAAAATATCATTGTAGATATTCAAGTTTGGTTGGGTTATGAGCATGTATATACGGTTGATCCGGTGGGTTTGGCTCTTTTCTGGAAAAAAGGTGTTGATATCGATCTCAAGTATGTAGATAAGAATGTGCTGGACATGTATGTACAGTTTGGTTCAAGCAGTTTCTTTGTTACGTGTGTGTATGGAAACCCAAATGCGAGTTTGAGACACCTAGTGTGGGAAAGGCTGACTCGTATTGGGATTCAAAGAAAAACTGGATGGTGTATGCTTGGAGACTTTAATGAAATTCTCAACAATGAGGAAAAAAATGGTGGTCCAAGAAGGAGTGATTCTTCTTTCCTTACTTTTTCCAACATGTTGAAAGATTGTGATATGAGAGAACTTCCAAGTACAGGGAATAGCTTTACCTGGGGTGGCAGAAGACGCACCTTGTGGATTCAGTGTAAGCTTGACAGATGTTTCGGCAACAAAGTCTGGTCTTCTTTCTTCCCTGCTTCTAATCAAGCTTTTTTGGCTAAAAGAGGATCCGATCATCGTCCGGTCCTGGTTCATCTCTTCTCTTCTCAAGAGTCTTATCGGGGTTCGTTTAGATTTGAAAAAAGATTACTCCACAAACCTTTTGTCAAAGAAGCCATAAAGTCGGCTTGGTTTGGTCCCTCATCCTCTCATAATCTTAGTGTCTCTTCGAGATTAAGAAGTTGCAGGAAAGCTCTCAGTCAATGGAAGAAAGTCAACGATGCTAATTCTCAGATCAAAATAAAAACTATTGAAGATGATCTGGAGTTTGAACAATCCTCGTCATCTCCTTCTTCATGTCGTCTCTTCAATCTCAAAAAAGTCTGGTGGAGGCTTACAAGGAAGAAGAAAGTTTTTGGCAACAGAAAAGTAGAGATAAATGGCTGAATCTTGGTGACAAAAACTCCAAGTTTTTCCATGCTTCTGTCAAGTCTGATAGGTCAAGGAATTGTATTGATAAGCTTATGGATATAAATGGAATCATGCATCGATCTGAAGCTTCAAAGGGTGAAGTGGCGACTAGCTATTTCCAGACTCTTTTCTCATCATCTGCTCCTTCAAATCAGATAGAATTCTTCTCCGATTTCATGCCGAGAGTCAACTCTAGAATGAACGACAGTCTTATCAGTATGGTTTCTAAAGAAGAAGTGAAAAGAGCTGTTTTCTCGATCAAAGCCTCTAGTGCTCCTGGCCCAGACGGTATGACTGGTCTTTTCTTTCAGAACTATTGGGATATTGTTGGTGATCTTGTCACGATGGAAGTTCTCAAGTTCTTTGAATCGGGTGTTTTCCCTAAAGAATGGAACTTCACTAATCTTTGTCTTATCCCAAAAAAAGGTCAACTCTCCTCACATGAGTGACCTACGGCCAATTAGTCTCTGTTCTGTTCTCTACAAAGTGATTTCCAAAATCATGGTGTCCTGAATGAAACCCTTTCTGTCTGAGATTGTCTCTCCTAATCAATCTGCCTTTGTTGAAGAAAGACTTATCTCAGATAACATTATAATAGCTCATGAAGCTATCCATGGTTTGAGAACTCATGATAGGATTTCGACGGAGTTCATGGCGGTGAAGACCGACATGTCAAAAGCTTACGACCGTGTTGAGTGGTCCTATCTTCAAGCGCTCCTTTTGGCTCTCGGTTTTCATCAAAAATGGGTCCAGATGATTATGTTCTGTGTCTCCTCGGTTTCTTATACAGTTCTGATTAATGGACAGCCTTTTGGTTTGATCATTCCTGAGAGAGGAATAAGGCAAGGTGATCCCTTATCACCTTTCCTTTTTGTTTTGTGTACTGAAGGATTGACATATCTGCTCAACTGTGCTGAACGATCTGGCTTGATTAATGGGATTCAATTCTCTCCCGATGGTCCAGCCATTCACCATTTGTTATTCGCAGATGACAGTCTTTTTATGATTAAAGCGGATGAAGAACAGTGCACAACCCTCCAATCCATTCTTCTCTTTATGGAAGAGTTACTGGTCAGATCATCAACCTTGATAAATCCTCCATCACTTTTGGTGCTAACGTGAATATGGATATGAAGGAAATCATTCAAACCAAATTGGGTATTATCAATGAAGGTGGAGCGGGCACTTATTTGGGTCTTCCAGAATGTTTTAGTGGATCTAAAGTGGATATGTTGTCTTACATCCACGACAAAATGAAAGGAAGAATGTCTGGATGGTATTCAAAGCTTCTATATCAAGGTGGAAAAGAAGTGTTACTCAACTCTGTTGCGATGGCGATGCCAGTTTTCTCCATGACCTGTTTTAAATTGCCAGTAACTATCTGTAATAAGTTATCTTCTGCGATGGCTGATTTCTGGTGGGACACTGTCGAGAACAAAAGGAAAATGCATTGGATTGGATGGGATAAATTGTGCATTCCTAAAGCTCAAGGAGGGATCGGTTTTAAAGACATTCAAATCTTCAACCAAGCTCTTTTAGCCAAACAAGCTTGGAGAATTCTACAAGATAAGGATTGTCTCCTTGCTTTGTTCTTAAAGAGCCGATACTTTGTTTCTTCCTCCTTCCTTCTCGCAGATACTGGAGTTAGACCCTCTTTTGCTTGGAGAAGCATTCTTCATGGAAGATCTCTTTTAGAAAAAGGTCTTAGACAGATGGTTGGCAATGGAGCTTCGCTTAGTGTATGGACTAATCGATGGCTTTGTGATGGGGTTATGAGAGCTCCCTTCATAAAGAACATCATCTTTAATTTGGATTTGAGAGTTATTGACCTCATTGATCCGATATCCAAAAGCTGGGATAGGGATAAACTCGATGAGCATTTCTTCCAAAGAGACGTTGGTCTAATCTTAAGAACTAACCCGGTGGTTTCTTCATTGGATTTTTTTCTGCTGGGAACATACCAAAAGTGGCGAATATTCTGTTAAATCAGGGTATTGGTTTGCTTCTCAAAGTAATCCATCTGAAGCCCTCAAGGAAGCTCTGATGCAACCGTCTTTGAATGCAATCAAACTCCAAATCTGGGCGCTCAATACAACCACTAAAATCAAAAACTTTCTTTGGAAAGCAATTAGTGGTGCCATTCCTGTTGCAGACAAAATTGCATCGAGAGGTATGAAGATTGATTCGAGATGTCAAATCTGTGGGCTTGAAGGTGAATCCATAAATCATGTGCTATTCAAATGTACAATTGCTAGACAGGTTTGGGCCTCTTCGAATGTACCCAGTCCTGAAAATGGATATGAATCAAACTCCATCTATCAGAACATGTTCCATTTATTGATGGTGGGTAAAAAGTTATCAGTGCCTTTGGAAATCAGAAGATCAATCCCGTGGATCTTATGGATACTCTGGAAGAATCTCAACATCTTCATTTTTGAAGGAATGAGCTTCCGAGTTTCTGATACTATGGGCAAGATTAAAGAAGATGTGAACCAATGGTTTCACGCTCAAGAGTTGGATGAAAAGGAAGCTATTAAAAAAAAGATGGAGGTGATTCAACCCCCGAAGGTTTGGCTTCCTCCCTCTAGACCTTGGTTGAAATGTAATATCGGTTCTTCCTGGGATAAAAAGAAAGGATGTGGTGGTGCTGCATGGGTTCTTAGGAACTCTTTTGGATCAGTCCTTTTACACAGTAGAAGATCTTTCTGTTCTGTATCCAGCCACATTGATGCTAGTTTCAAAAGTTGGATCTGGGCAATTGAAAGTTTGAATAGCTTAGGTATCACCAAAATGGTCTTTGCTTCGGAAGATTCAGATTTAATAGGAGCGGTTCATCGGCCACCAGCCTGGCCTTCTTTCAAATTCTATTCGTCTGAGATCTTGAATGGTTTGGAAATTTTTTTGGATTGGAAGCTTACGCTTGAGGAAAGAGTTACAAATCAAGGTGCTTTCCTCATTGCTAGAAGTGTGACTAAAGATGATCGTCGACAATCATATATAGCCTCGGGCTATCCTCAGTGGTTAGAAGAGATTTTTGTTTCTGAAAGTAGTATTACCTTGTTGTAATACTCATGTTCTATATGAGTGTTTGATTGCTTTTGATCATGTTTTGTATTGTCTGCTTGTAAGCTCATCGATTATTAATATACGTAATATTCAGTGAAAAAAAAAAAAGAAAGTTCAGTGCTCTCAACGTGACACTGGCACATAGGATTTTTATAATTCACCATATTGTGTCATGTATCACGCTTAACTATGATCGTAACATATGTCAATAAAATAATATAAAATCTTATATGTTAAATTATATTTTTTTTCTAAACAAAAGGAATTCTACATTTTTAAATGTAAATTACTAAATTAGAAAAAACTAAAGTAGATGAAAATAGAAACTACAAAATAGAAATAACAAAAGTAAACCAAAAATAAAATTCTATATGTATAAGACATTATATTTTTATAACTCACTATATTGTGTCATATATCACAGTTATTTATGATTGACTCATGTGTCAATGAAATGAGATAAAATTTCTTATTTTAATTATTTATTTCAAATAAGAATAGAAAAATAATTATACCTTTTTAAATGTAAATTCAAAAAATAGAAAAAATTAAAAGAAAAGATTAGTAAATACAAAGTATATAAAAAATGAAGATACTTTCGCAGATTGATAGACCAAATTCCTTATTTGCGCAGGTCTTTAAAGGACGATACTTTCGGAATCCAAGTCCTTTGGACCCAGTGAGATCCTACTCACCGTCTTATGGATGGCGAAGTATAATATCGGCTAGATCTCTGGTTAATAAAGGGCTAATTAAAAGGGTAGGTTCAGGATGCTCCATTTCTGTCTGGAATGATCCGTGGATACCTTCTACTCGCCCGAGATCAGCCACTTGTAAGGGTTTCAATTATTATCCGAATCTTATGGTTAATCACCTGATTGACCCAGTGACAAACTCGTGAAACATGGGTTTGATAACAGCAATTATTGACCCAGCGGATGTGGAAATTATTCGTGGACTTCCCATTAGTAGAACCTATAGGCCAGACCCAATGGGATGGCATTTCACAGAATCCGGACGATATACTGTAAAATCAGGGTACAAAACTGAGCGTTATTTATCTAAAGAAATAACAGAGGAGATCTTTGGCCCAGACATAAAGGCTTTACAAGCATATGCTTGGAAATTGAAAAGTGTGTCGAAGTTAAGACATTTTATCTGGCAAGCAATATCTTGGTGCCATCCAGTGTCGGCTAGATTAAGCACCCGTGGAATACAATGTGACACACAATGTACACGGTGTGGAGCAGATGAAAAAACAATTAACCATGTGCTCTTTGAATGTCCTCCTGCTTTGCAAACTTCGGCATTATCCCGGATACCAACACCTCTTGGGATTTTCCCAGGACCATCGGTTTATTCGAATTTTGATCATCTCTTTTGGCGACTTCCAAAAGAGTTGAATAACACAAAATTCCCATGGATCGCATGGTATATTTGGAAGGCACGGAATGAGAAAGTGTATTCGAATAATGATATAGATCCACAGATTACATTGAAAATAGCGGAAAAAGAAGCAACATTGTGGGAAGAGGCTCAAAGGTCTGAACAGGATTCAATTCCTACCGATCTTTGCACTTCTCTGAACTTGTAAACACCTATGGCCTACGAAGGCTGGTGGTGTTATACTGATGGCTCTTGGAAAGATACATATCTTTTAACGGGATTAGGATGGTACTTCTTTAAAGAAGATGCTACGGAAAGAATAATGGGAGCACAAAATGTAAGACAAAGTCTTACACCTCTGCATGCAGAAATAGAAGCCCTCATATGGGCTATGCACTGTATGCTCGAAAACCAGAAGATGGAAGTAGCTTTTGCAACAGACTGTTTGGAGTTGGTGAAGATGGTGTCTACACCCAAAGAATGGCCAGCTTTTGATCTACATTTGGAGGAGATTAGGAAAATGAAGGACAAGTTCAGTTTCTTCCTTATATCACATATCCCACGCGCAAAAAACTCGAAGGCGGACAACCTAGCAAGAAGTGCTCGTGTCTACCCTCAAGACGTCATTTATGTAAACTCGGTACCACCGGTTTGGATAGCCGAACCGTTTTAGGTACTTAGGCTGATGACAAAAAAAAAGTATATAAAAAATGAATTATGAATAAAATCTATACAAGATTCTTAATTTATAGAATTATAAAATACCAATTTGTTATCGTGTGTTTAAAAATTGTAAGATTTATGGTTAATATGGATGAATTTTGATTTTTTTAATAGTGAATTATGAATTATAGTATGTAGATAACTTAGCTGGATTTTAAATTATAACTAGGTGTTGGTCCGCGCTTTGCGCGGACATAAGGGTTTTAAAAATGTACAACATATTTTGATGTTATAAACTGTTTTTCAAAAGAATTAAAACAAGGAAGGATTACTATACAAACCTTTAAATGTATGTTTATTGTTTGCTTGACATACTTTTATTTTTATTACAAAAATAACATAGCATACCGAAAACATCATTTTCGCCTTTGATGAAAAAAACCTAATTAAAAAAATGCCATTACTTTTTTGTGCCATGTAGGCAAAAAGATGCGCTTGAAAAATGATAAGCCTACCGGTCTTTGATGGTAGACTTATCAGATGTTGGTCAACACAATTTTTTAGATGGCATATTTGTTAGGACGATGGTAGATTTATTCGAGAATTGGTAGATTTGTAAAATGTTGATATACTTTTTTTGGTAGAGTTTTGACAATGACACGATAGATTTGTTAAGTTTCGGTAGATTTGTTGTCATGTATGCCACACTTGTTAAAGTGTTGGTAGACTTGTTAAGGAATTCGTTGACTCTCTCGCATAGTTGATTTTGTTGGTAGATTTGTTGACAATGGGGGTAGATTTAATACTCGAATTGGTAGACTTATTTCTTTTGGTGGCAGATTTATTCACCAAAATTTAAGATAACGTGGTGGTAGATTTATCCCTATTGAGGTAGATTAGTTATGAAATTGGTAGAGTTATATCATGTGAGTAGATTTATCGCTCTTGTGGTAGATTTATAAGTAATGTGGAAGATTTAAATCAAGTAAAAATTTGGTGATTTCATTCCGTTGAGTAGTAAATTTATTGTTACATGAGGTAGACTTATAAAATGGTGGTAGATTTTTTTTGTTATTGTAGTAGATTTTCAATCAATTGGTAAAGTTATTGCACGTATGGTAGACTTCTATTGAGCTTCATGTGGTAGATTAAATAACTTTGGTGTTTACTCAGATAACCTCAATCTGGTAGACATATTTGATGCTTGAAGGTAGAGTTTTTCTTATGGTAGAGTTATTTACATTGCTTGTGGTAGACTTAGTTACATTGTTTTCGGTAGACATTTGACTTATTCAATTGAAATTACTTATTTGTCCTAAAGGTATTCAGCAATCTACAAAAAAACCAAAGGTGTGGTAGACTTGTTTTGGGGTGTTGTATGTTAAACAGATTCCATATGTATGGTAGACTTGTTTCATGGTTATATTTGAGTTGGTTTTGTTACTATTGACGTTTTTTTGCATGGGTTTGCTGAGATTACGCCGGTAAATTCTGATCCGATCATAGATGATTATTGGTTTTTATGGTATAGACACCACAAATAATGGTCAAAATTTTCTTGCATGAATTTTTTTTCGATGATATACCTTTTCTCTCAAGTTTTACCCTTAACAAAACAAATGAAAGCCGCAAGTGCACAGCTAATCAGTTGTAGTATTTAGGGATCGAATCCACATAGATTTGTGTGCCTAGTATTCTTCTACGGTTTTTAACTTTATGTCTACACTAGATTGGTTTTTAAAGGTTGGTTGGTTTGATGTATTAAACTAAAACAAAAGAAAGCAAATAAATCTATCCTAAAAAGCAAGTAAAGAAATCGAATGAAAGGCAAATAGAACAAGTAAAATATCGAATGAAAGACTAATAAGGCAAGTAAACTATCGAATGAAATACTAGTAAAGTAAGTAAATAACAAACTAAGGAAATTGAAATGCAGGCCTAAATAAGCAAATAAAAATCGATGGAATTGTAAACTATGGCTAAAAACGCTGAGCTTTTGGGGACTCTAAGGGATCATAATCGGTTTTAACACTAGGGTAAATAGATTGGGATTGACGGATATCGATATATGGGTTCTAGAGCTAGAGTACGGCGGTATGACTACGTCATTGTCGTGATCATAACCAACTGTTTCTCGCAACCCAGACCAGTAGGTTTCCACTCTAGCCCTGGAAGGGAGAGAACGCAAGAGCTGCACAAGACTCGTCAATACTCACGATCTCGCCGCAGGTAGGTTTCCACTCCTACGAAAAAATTGCCTGTTTCATTCTAGGGCTGATACTTAATGAAAACTTTCGCAACACTAACTATCTAGATCAGATACTAGGTGATCAATCAAGCATACATGCAATAAGAACAAGAATAAACAGAGAACATGTCGAAATCCCAGATCTATAAACCTAGATGTCTTAATCGATTATGAGAGCCCCTTTCGGGAACCCTAAGCCCAACTCGGGATCTACTCAGACATGGCGGAGGTCGACATCATCATTGGTTTTAATAAAAGTAATGAAAAACAGTAAAAAAAAGAGATAAAGAAAGCTTCTCTATTGAAGAACTCGGACTTGAACAATCTTCTACAAAAATCTCATAAAAACGGCTAAAGGAAAAGGGTTTCTGTAAAGTATGAATGACTCTCCCTAAAAACGACCTAAATGACATGTATTTATAGTCTCCAATACTCCATGGTCTCTAGGGTTCCGGAATTGAGGCTGAGAATGACTTTGGGCTTCAGATACATGGGCTTTAATTCGGAGATTGATTGCCGTGGTCGGGAGTGTTGTGACCGCGGGGATTGGCTGGTTGGCCGCGGTCGGGAAGCTTCTGACCGCGGGAAATAGGTTGATCACCGCGGTCGCGTGACTTTCTGGCCGAGTTCGAGTGGCTCCGGGGCTAATGGAATATCTTGAGATCCAACCGTTAGAATGTCTCCAAACCAAGTGCATTTGAAAGCTGGTTGATTCTTCTATAAGTTGTCCAGTTTTGAAGGTGATCAGACGGTGAGAAGGTCGTCGTCTCTCCATGAGAGTTCTGACGGTCTGCATTTATTCAAAAGAGTTTTTGTTTCATTTTGTGCCTCTTTATCCCAAATTACCTGAAAAGTCTTTTCAAATCCGGAAACATAGAAATCCTTTGAAAATCTTTGAAAATGGAGTAAAAACACCGGTAAAAGATATGAAAGTGATCCATAAAAATGGTCAAAATCCGGTGTTATCAACTCCCCCAGACTTAGTCTTTTGTTTGTCCTCAAACAAAACAAAGGCTAAATCTCGGTGAGAGGTTTGAAAACGCAGGAACTAAACAAAATCTCAGAGACCAAACTTCTAGACCAATATCAATCAGTATGCATCAATCGGGAATAGCCTAGAAAATACTCACTAGCAATACAGGCATAACTAGTCCGTTAATCCATCATGCGAAAATCTATGCACTAGGATCTAACTTCCAGTCAACTAGCTCTTAACATTCATTAAAAATCTCGGTGGTTCTCATCAAAGAAAGTCTAGGCAAGGCAATCTAGGCTAGGTGTTAAAAAGGTTATTCTAGGGGTAAGGTTTAAAGTGTTTACGGGTTACTTGAAAATCTGGAGGATGCATGATATTATGCAAAACCGCAAGAGAGAGTTAAGCTGTTGGTATCCACAGTTTTCAGTCACTTTCTTCGTGCCATAGATTCCTGGTCTTCTTCCTCAGGTTCTCTCCTAACTCCCCCAGACTTAGATTTATGTAAATCTTTCAAAATTAAACGATTAGTGGTTGCTTATTGCTCCACAAATTTTTGACAATCTAAGACTCATTAGGCTTTTTGTTTCCCTTTCTTTTTTCACGTTTTTTTTTTTTTTTTTTTTTTTTGTGGGAGAAAGGGAACACCTTTAGATATAGAGTCTTAGAGAGCACGAAATTACCAGTCAATATCTGTCTTGTAAAGCTTCATGATTTTTCTGATACTCTTCCTTCCCAATTCCATTCAGTCTCCTTTGTGAGTGACTGAAAACTGTGTCGCTCCTCTTCTCTCCGACGTTTTTGCACATATCTGCTGATATAAACTAAAGAAAGAATGCATGAGGATTGAAAACAAGGGTTTTGGGTTTAGGGTATGGTACCAGATAAAGATAAACAGGTCATCTAGGACGACAAAGAGTGGTAAAAGTGAGGGTAGAAGACGTCCTAGATGTGTATGTCGATGCCTGCCTAAAATCAATGATGAAAAAATTAGATATCAATATTAAGTCCAAATAAAATGAGCTAGTATATCCTGTCAGAAAGAATCTCCATGAATAGAAGTCCTCTGGTGGGAGTTCGTAGTGCAAGTACTCTAGCTACCGCCTAGTCTAGTGCTAACCACAAATGAGCAATCATGCATAGTGTAGAAGCGTGCAGGTCTAAATCATCATAGTTTTGCGTCAAACATTCCTGAAAAATACTTAATGTCGAATAGGTTACATATTAAAATTTAAAAAGTACTTGGAATTTAAAAAGAAAAGCAAGAAAATGATTAGTACGGATAGACATCCTCCCGCAGACTTAAATCACACTGTCCCCAGTGTGAAAAAGTTGGTGAGAAGATGGTGAATAAAAGAGAAATAAAATAAGATAAAAGAAAAGAAATTGATGATAGAACCGTGATGGTAGTGAAGTGCTGATCAATCACTCATCCTCCGATGTGTCGTCTGCAAACTGGTGCTGCTCCTGTAAGAAGGTGACAACGCGCTCAAAGCGTCGTCCCTGTCTCTCAACTCTGCGCTCCAGATCGGAATGAGTGTGAGATGATGTAGATGATGAGGTGTGGCCGGTCAAAACAGATGGCTGAAAATGGGCACGGGCCGCAGCTGCATCACGCTTCACCTTGGCCACTATGTATTGGCCAATGGTGAATGGTAGACGAGGTACAGAAGGCAGAAAATCATCAGGTTCCGGAGTCCATCGCGGACGTCCTCCGTTACACAATCTCGGGATAGATACCGAAGGCAAACTGACTCGGTGCTCCTCAGTGCCAGTGCAATACTTGTAACCAAACCTGTCTGGATCGAAAGCGGCACGAGAGATAGTGTGATCGCGAGAGAGATAAAGTAGATCATACCAGACATCGGGAAGTGGCTCATCAGATGAGAAATCGAATCCTACAGCCTGTAGTATCGCTGTAATAGCACTCCTGAAAGCTGGAGTAGCGTCCTCGCAACCATGTAAGTCATGCTTCACGTTTACCGTATTCTGCGCTATGATCCAGGCAAAGCAAGCAAGTCGTGGGTCGTCCATAAACGGAATCTGATGTGTAATGAGCTCAGTCTTTAAAACACCTCCCATGTTTGCTCTAGAGAAGATCGTGTGTGCTAATAGCTTGTGCACAACTCTCACTGCTGGATGAGTAAGAAGGGCTGACTTCGATCTCCCACTATCATAGACTCCATGACCCATCTCTCTCCACAGGTTAAGATCAGGTTCATCTTCAAGGTAAATGCCATCAGTGTATGGAAGCTTAAGAGCTTCACAAACCTCAGAAATGGTGAGAGAGTAAGGCTGTCCGCGGATAGAGAATGACAAGATGCCATCTGATGCTCTGGGGTTCCTCCTCTTCGTGTGGTGTAGTGTAATAGTCGCTAAGAATTCACGGACTAGCTCAGGATAAGTCGGAAGGTTCAGCTCCATGTAGGGTCTCAGCTTAAGTGCATTGATGTACCAGATCACATCTTCTCTGATTCCAAGCATCTCGAGTGTATGATAATCTATGCAAGGCGTGGGTTTGATGTTCAGCTTCTTGAAACGTCTTGCATAGTCCACTCTCGGGTTTGTCTCCCTCCCAATGTATAGAATCTGTGGTGGCTCGGGAGCTGCTTGTGTTTCTCTTGAGTGATGGAGCAATCTCATCACATAGTTTCTCCTTCTCGGTCTGGTTTGGTTCAGCATGTACTCTCCTAGAGTAGCATCATCGGGAATGTCCTCGGAGCTGCCACCAGTGCGACGGCTCCTTCGGGATCTGTTTTGGTCCATTTTTCTGCAAAACGAAATAGTTCTTGGAAAAAGAGTGAATTTGGATGCTGATTTTAACACATTAAGATCTGTTATACTAATACTAGCATAAAGAGATTAATTAAAACCATGAGCAAACAAAATCGATAATAAATCAGAGAAATCAAGTAGTTCATGACCAGATTCGGATTTTTGATGTTCTCAACATAGAAATCTTCTAAAAATTGGTTTTTATAAGCAATTTCCATGTAAATTCTAAAGATTACCCAATACTTGTTGGGGTCGGTTTTCACCCCATGCAGATAAAACCATCTCAAAATGACTAAGTATGGAAGAAAGATAAGTGGGAGAGCCGTGGTCACCAAATGGGAGAGCCGTTCTCACCAAGACAAGTGGGAGAGCCGTTCTCACCAAGACAAGTGGGAGAGCCGTTCTCACCAAGACAAGCGGGAGAGCCGCGATCACCAAGTGGGAGAGCCGTGAAGATAGACCAGTAGGGAGAGCCGTATCGTAAGATTTGGGCCGAGCCCCATTCCAACATGCTTGGGTCGAGCCGCGCCTCGGTGAGGTGGACCAGATCATGTCTCGACCGAAATGGCAAGTGGGCCGAGCCGTGAAGAAGTTAGATGGGCCGAGCCGTGGCAAAGGAGAATGATGGGCCGAACCGTGGCCTTGGGAGACGAAGCCCATAAAAACCCTAGGCGAAATACAAAGGCGGTGAGCCGCACGAGGCGATAAGGAAATATTCCGAAAATCTCTCCCGAGATTCTCGGCTAGGCGGTTCAGAGAGTTAGTAAAAATAGACGATGTATACAATTCATTCTGTAACTTTTGCAACCCTAAGCAATATGAGCTAAACACTTTTACAGCAAGAAAAACTTTCTTTCGATCTTACTGTTTTTGGCGAAACCCTAGAAGTTTCCGATCCCTTAGTTTTCCTTAAACAAATTTCTGGTTGTGCGAGTTTTGGCTCACACAATTTGGCGCCGTCTGTGGGGAATCGAAACTTTCTTACTCTAAATCGACAAGACTTTAAGATCCGAAGAACATGGCGAGCAACACCCCCGACGACAACAACAACAACAACACCGGTAACGGCACGGAGAAGGACGCTCCGGCATCGGGCACAACGACAGCAACGATCAAAACCCAGGAGGAGATGCAAACATGATGGCTGCGTTGATGAAGAAAATCGACGAACAGGATAAAAGAAACGAGGCGATTACGGAAAGGCTCGACGCGATGGCGGCTGAGCGACTGCACCAAACTTGGAGAGCCGGAATTCCCGACCCGATGGATGGAATCCGGAGACGCTTCGATTTCTCGACACCTGCAGAAGCCTCAGGGAGTGGCGCAAGAAACCCCTCGGCTCCTCCAATGTTTCGTCTCCTCGACGAAAAGACCCCCCGCAGCAACCAGAGTCAACATGACCGAGCCGCCCCCTCTCCGCCGAAACTCAAGGCGGCGAGCCGGCGAAGAAGAAAACCATGCGATCGACGTAGACGCCCAGCATAACGACTGAACCACGAATCCGCAACAAACCGGCTCGGCTCGGCGAATAAGTCAAGAAGACCTCGCCTCGGCACTAAACGGCATCCGAACTGACGAAGTTTCCGACCCGACCCGCAGCGACAATCCAACCGAGGAGGAAGAAAATCGCCAATGGATCGAACAGGCAGAGCGCGAAGACGAGCCGAGGAGAGAGGAGCGGGAGCGACTCCCCCAATCAAAGGGAATGATTCACACACAAACTCTCGAACTCAAAGAGCTGCGAGCCTCGATAGCTCGGACAGTAGCTGAAATACGCGCCATGAAATCCCAAGTGCACAACGTGACAAGCGCAGCGCCCGAAATCGACCGAATGCTTGAAGAAACTCAGAGAACTCCATTCACTGCAAGAATCACGGAGGCCAGGATTCCCGAGCCGGGGAAGGTGAGAATCCCGTTCTACGAAGGAACAACCGACCCGAAAGCACACATCACAGCGTTTCGGATAGCAATGGGACGAGCCTTCACAAAGAACGCCGCTAAACTCACCGAGCGCAAAGTAGATGCCGGATACTGCCTGCTCTTCGTGGAGCATCTCAAGGGAGCCGCACTCGAGTGGTTTTCGAGGCAGGAACGAAATTCAATCGGCAATTTTCAACAGCTCTCCGCCTTGTTCCAGAAACAATACTCGATGTTTATGGACAGAGGAACATCTGATGCCGATCTGTGGACACTATCCCAAGGACTGAACGAGCCGCTTCGGGATTACATGGCAAGATTCAAGGCACTCGTATCCAAAATAGAAGGGATAAGCGACAAGGCTGCGCTCGAGGCTCTGAAACAATCTTTGTGGTACAAATCCGAGTTCCAACGGGAGATGGCTCTCAACACGCCGCAAACAATTCAAGACGCTCTGCACCGATCATCAGACTTCGTCGTAAACGAGGAGGAAATGAAAAACTTGGACGAGCGGTACGAAGCGACGAAAGCAGCAATCCGAAGCTCAATTTTGCCGCGCCCCGCGAGGAAGGGCAACCCATCAAACAACGCAACAACGCAGAGCTCGGATGAACCTAGAAGCGGAGGTGCCCATAACTACCAGGTAGGCACCGGACGCGGAAGAGGAGAGCCGCGCAACAACACTTGGGTGAGGAAATCCGCCAACTACGACGAGAAGGCTTTCTGTGAGTATCACCAGACCTACGGGCACTCAACGGCACAGTGCCGAACTCTAGGAGCAAAACTCGTGCCTAAGATGGCAGCGGGAGAGCTCCAAAACGCGGTCAACCTCAAAGACCTCGTCCCTAACGAACAACAAGAGAGAGCCGAGCCGAGCAGCGCGAAGAGGCGATAACTCCAAGCGCGACAGGAGAGGTGAACCCGAAGAGCGACCCGTGCCGAGGCAAAGGATCAATATGATCATGGGTGGATCTCAATACTACCATGATACCGTGTCCTCCATCAAAGCCTATCAGCGCCGAGCCGAAGCAAAGGAGAATTGGATAAAACCAACCGACATCCCAAACACAGTGATCTCCTTCGCCGAGGAGGAAGCGGCAGGAATTGATCGACCTCACAACGATCCGTTGGTGATCGAGTTAACGATCATGGATCATGATGTGGCAAGGGTGCTCATCGATACTAGAAGCTCAGTGAACGTCATCTTCAGAGAAACACTCAGAAAAATGGGAATCGACCTCTCCGAGGTGGAAGCAATCCCCAACCTCTAACCAGATTTTCAGGAGAAACGACGATGACTATGGGAACGATCAGGCTTCCTGTGGTAGCTGGCGGAGTCACTAAGATCGTCGAATTCTGCGTCACTGATCACCCAGCAATCTACAATGTGATCATGGGAACTCCATGGATCAACGGGATGAGGGCGGTACCATCCACCTATCATCTCTGTCTCAAATTCCCAACTCCATCGGGTGTCAAAACGATATGGGGGAATCAGAAGGAGTCAAGAATGTGCTGCTTAGCCGAGCACAAGCTGAGGAACCCCGTCACTGACGCACGAGCAGATATAGACCGCAAAAAGATGAAGACAGACCGAGAGCCCGCAAACGAGCTCTCGAAACTCTTATAGCAATTACAGATCACGGAGAACCGCGAAACACGCGCCGAGCCGGTATGCGATGCAGTGGACTCGGTGTGCATAGACGAGGCGCGTCCGGAGCGATGCATCGAAATTGGAATAAAACTAGAAGAGCCTCTGAGAAGCGAACTCCTTTCCCTCCTCAAGGAGAACATCAACACTTTTGCCTGGACAGCAGAAGATATGCCAGGCATAAGCATTGACGTAACCTGTCACGAGCTGAATGTGGATCCGACCTTTAAGCCAGTCAAGCAGAAAAGAAGGAAGCTCGGCCCCGAACGAGCTAAAGCAGTTAACGACGAAGTTGAAAGGTTACTCAAAGTAGGATCAATCGCCGAGGCCAAATATCCGGATTGGCTCGCAAATCCGGTGGTCGTGAAGAAGAAGAACGGCAAGTGGCGAGTATGTGTGGATTTCACCGACCTCAACAAGGCGTGCCCAAAAGACAGCTTTCCCTTGCCACACATCGACCGGCTCGTCGAAGCCACTGCAGGGAATAGACTGTTAACATTTATGGACGCGTTCTCCGGCTACAATCAGATCCTGATGCATCCTGATGATCGAGAAAAAAAGGCATTCATAACTGATCGAGGGATATACTGCTACAAAGTCATGCCGTTCGGGCTCAAGAACGCAGGAGTAACGTATCAACGGCTCGTCAATAAAATGTTCGCGGCTCAGCTCGGAAAAACCATGGAAGTATACATCGACGACATGTTAGTCAAATCACTCAAGGAGGAAGACCACGTCGCGCATCTATGGGAATGCTTCGAACAATTGAACAAGCACAACATGAAACTAAACCCGGCAAAGTGCAGGTTTGTGGTCACCTCGGGAGAATTCCTCGGCTATCTGGTAACTCACCGAGGCATAGAAGCAACCCCCAAGCAGATCAAGACGTTAATTGAGATGCCCTCTCCAAGAACGAAGCGCGAAGTGCAAAGGCTCACAGGTAGAGTCGCCGCGCTAAACAGGTTTATTTCCCGTTCTACAGACAAATGCCTGCCCTTCTACGACACCCTCCGAGGAAACAAGAAATTTGAGTGGGACGAACGATGCGAGACGGCTTTCCAGGAACTGAAGAATTATCTGGCGAGCCCACCAATCTTAGCAAAACCAGTCGAAGGAGAGCCGCTCTTCCTCTACGTCGCAGTGTCTGCTACAGCCGTAAGCGGAGTGCTTATCAGAGAAGAACGATCCGAGCAAAAACCCATTTTCTACATCAGCTAGACACTAACCGACGCCGAGACCCGCTACCCCCAGATCGAGAAGGTCGCCCTAGCCATCGTAGTCTCGGCTCGCAAACTGCGCCCGTACTTTCAATAACATTCGATTGTTGTGCTCGCTACGCTTCCGCTGCGCTCGATCCTTCACAGCCCTAGCCAATCCGGTCGGCTCGCCAAGTGGGCCATAGAGCTAAGCGAATACGACATCGAGTATCGGAACAGGTCGTCTGCAAAGTCACAGGTGCTCGCAGATTTCCTCATTGAACTTCCCGCCGAAGAAACAAACGAGCCGACTCTAGACGAAGTGTGGACGCTGCACGTCGATGGCTCGTCGTCTAAACACGGCTCGGGTATAGGAATTCGCCTCACCTCTCCCACCGGAGAGATATTGGAGCAGTCTTTTCACCTAAACTTCCACGCCTCGAACAACGAAGCGGAATACGAAGCACTGATCGCCGGCATACGACTAGCGTAGGGAATCGGAGTTCGAAAGATAAGAACCTTTTGCGATTCACAGCTCGTAGCATGTCAGTTCAACGGAGAATACGAGGCGAAGGATGGACGAATGGGAGCTTACCTCAAGGTGGTCCGAGAGTTGGTGCAAAAGTTTGACGAGTACGAACTCACGCGCATTCCCCGAGGGGAAAACACCTCGGCCGACGCCTTGGCAGCACTCGCTTCGACCTCAGACCCAGACCTCCGACGGACGATCCCAGTCGAATTCATCGAACGTCCTAGCATCAAAGAGGTGGAAGGAGTTCGGCTGATAAATCCTCCTGAACAAGAACCAGAGGACGACGAAGCCATTCCTATGGATGAAGACGCCTCACCGACCGAGCCGGAGTACGGCTGCGACAAAGAATAGCTCGGAGCTATCCGAGTGTATATCGCCGATGGAGAGGTGCCAACCGACAAATGGGAAGCCCGCAAACTAAAAGCTCAGGTCGCACGGTATGTCCTCGTCGTGGCGAGGTGTTTAAATGGAGATTTTCAGGGCCTTTCATGACATGCGTCGAAGGACCGGAGGCAAGAAAGATCATGCACAAGGTGCACAGCGGCGCGTGCGGGAACCATTCCAGCAGAAGGTCGCTCGCTATCAAGATAAAACGGCACGGCTACTTCTGCCCCACGATGGTCAAGGACTACGAGAAATTTAAGGCGAAGTGCGAGAAGTGTCAGCGGCACGCTCCAACAATTCATCAACCTACCGAGTTGCGTCAATTTCATCACCCTATCCGTTCATGAGATGGTGGATGGACATCGTCGGACCTCTACATTGCTCAAAGCAGAATCGTTTTCTGCTCGTCCTCACGGATTACTTCTCCAAGTGGGTCGAAGCCGATTCCTACGCAAGCATAAAGGATGTTCAAGTCGAACACTTTGTCTGGAAAAATATCATCTGCCGACACGGGGTCCCCTACGAGATAGTCACCGACAACGGATCCCAGTTCATCTCAACACGCTTCGAAGCCTTCTGCGAGAAGTGGAAAATCCGCCTCAGCAAATCTACGCCAAGATACCCTCAAGGGATTGGACAAGCCGAAGCAGCCAACAAGATGATCCTCGACTGTCTGAAAAAGAGGCTCGACGCCAAGAAGGGACGGTGGGCAGACGAACTCGAAGGAGTCCTTTGGTCTCATCGGACAACTCCGCGCCGAGCCACCGGGGAAACTCCATTCGCTTTGGTCTACGGATCGGAGTGCGTAATTCCCCCCGAGGTGGATTTCCCAGGTATTCGACGAAGACTTCTACCAGGACAGGAGGGCTTGAACCACTTAATGATGCTAGATGAGCTCGACCTAATCAACGAAAAGCGCGACCAAGCCTTAATTCGGATCCAGAACTATCAACAAGCAACGGCGCGATACTACAACAAAAACGTTCGTAGTCGAAGATTCAAAGCAGGGGAGCTCGTCCTCCGAAAGGTCTTCCAAAACACTGCCGAGAAGAACGCAGGAAAGCTCGGAGCAAATTGGGAAGGTCCTTACAAGGTCACAAAAGTGGTTCGTCCAGGAGTCTACGAACTCGCGACACTAGCTGACGAAGCGATTCCAAGATCATGGAACGCAATGCATCTAAAAAAGTATTATCATTAAAGGTACAGCATGGCAAGCATGAACTACGGGACGGCTTGATCCCTTCAAAGGGTACGTAGGCAGCCCGTCCTCGGACGGGTTCAGCTGTCCCCCTTCCTAAAAAGGGGGGGGGAGTGGGTACTTATACACATACCTTCTTTAACTCTACAATTTTAACTTGCTCACTTAGGAACATCGCCACTTCGGCACATTCTCAGTTCGTTTTTAATCATCTACTTATTGCACGTTTACCTTGGATTTCTAGTTCGTTCATTATCGCTTCGGCTAGTTTCTCATTTTTTCTAAATCAGCAACTTATTTTAACAAGCTCGGATTTTTAAAATTTTATCACTCATCACTTCGGAGAGTAATCATACCACTTCGGCACGATATCATGACTTGATTACCTCAGACCTTAATCGGTCCTCAGTTTCAGATCGGCAAACTAAGCCTCCGAACGCCTCGTCTCGTTGCTGGCCATAACGGGGCAACAAATACAAAGTTCTCTAAACGAACTTTACCACCTTTCCTAGGACGAGGGTGCAAGTTACATCCTCTACGGATAAAAATTAAGCGCTATACAAATATCAGACCAAAAACGTATCAGGTCGCCACGGTTTACTATCGCACACGAGAATGTAAGTCGAGACTACATCGCTTTCTCTAAAACCGAAGTAAACTCTTAAAACCCGGACAAACATATTCATCCTCTCGGAAACGCCGGTCCATAGTAAGATTCAATGAGACTACCAAATCATTCTTGGCTGAACAAAAAACGAAACGCCTCGTCGTTCTTACGGTTCGGCACCACGCAAAGAGAAAACGCCTCGTCGTTCTTATGGCTCGGCACCATGCACAGAAAAAATGCCTCGTCGTGTACACGGCTCGGTACCACGCTTAGAGAAAACGCCTCGCCGTTTACACGGCTCGGCACCTTACACAGCGAAAACGCCTC